CACCAGCCATACTGGCTCAGGGCCTAACTAATGACCTTAACTTGATTACATCTGCAGAGACTCTGCTTCCAAAATTTGGTAGTCAAGTTAAGATTTTGACATGTTCAAAGGACCCAGGGGTTACAACTTCATTCTACCTATTGAGGGGACACAATTCAACCCATAAGAGGTTCTGAAGGCCTATAAAGCATAAGCATCTTGGCCCTCATATTAGCAGCTGTTGATCTTAGAGCAGCAGTGAACAGATCACTTATTTAAACCTCAGTTTCATCATCTGTGAAATGGGGACAAAATTGTGTCCTCGTGGAACTATTCATTTAGTCTCTTAGAAAATGTTTCCTGTGTGTCAGGCCTTCCCTGCATGGAGTGCTGGGGGGAAGGGGTGTGCCTCAGAGCCTTCCAAGTGATAGATAATAAGATGGGGTAACACAGGGGCCCCAGGAGCCCAGAGGCCAGGGAAACCTTCTAGGAGTTTTGACTTGAACTGAGTTTGAGAGACGCATGGCTGTTATGCAGACATAGGAGTGAGGGTGATTTGGGCAGAGGGAGCTTTGTGCACAAAGGCGAGAGAGCTTGAAACAGTGTCTCCCGTTGGGAGTGGGAGTTCCAAGTGGCCATTTGGAACAGAGGCGTCAGGTGGTGAGGGGTGGGCATCTGAGGCCAGGAAGCCTGGGACTAGCCAGATGACTTCATGGCGTGGAATGGGATGGAGTGGGGGCTGCGATGCCCTGGAAAGCTCGGCCAGCCTGGCCTGGAAGAGGCTCTGGAGCCCTAGCCCCTTGCCCATGCCATGCAGAAACACAGGCATAGGGCCGCAGGTGCTTCTGTGTTTAAAAGAAAGCTGAAATTCTGATTTTCTCATGCACTCTGGGTTTTTCATGTTAACAACTAATTAGAAATTTTTAACAGACCTACCAATCATGGTGTGGACTGTTTCTGTTACTGCTTATGACTTCATTCACTTAATGGCTTGACACAATCACTTACTGTGCTCATGATTTTGTGGAACCACAACTGAGGAAGGGCTTGGCTAGAACCTTTGTTTATGCTCCGGTGGCGTCAGCTGGTACAGCAGGGGCTGGAGTCTAGGCTTCCAGCATGTAGCTTCCTCAGAACTTGTCTGGTGGCTCCAGGCAACTTGACCACTCTCTCCTCTTGGGATTTCATCCTGCAAGGGCTTCTTCAGGCGACTTGGGCTTCCTCCCAGTATGGAGGTCTCAGGGTTGTTGCTTTTCTTGCATGGTGCTGGCTCCCCCAAAAAAGAGTGTTCCGGCAGCTCCAGGTTAAGCTGCAGGCTTCTTAGAACCTAGCCTAGAAGTCCCAGAATGTCATTAACACTACATTTTTTAGTCAAGATAGTCTCCAGGCCAGCCCAGATTTAAAGGGAGGGAGTCAGATTCCAGCTCTTGATGTAGCGTGTGTCTAGGAGGGAGGGACAGAATGGATGGTCATTGTGCTTGGAGACTGTCTACTACCTGGACCAAACAGAACAGGTGTGTGATCTGGATTCATCTCAGGGCTGCTAGTGTATTATCTCTAGACTAAACAGGGCTGTGTGGACCTTGGCAAAACCTTAAAATACTGCCAAGCCCAGTAGAAAAGTTAGTTATTACTAAGGAGGTAGGCCATGACTTTATTAGGCTGAACCATGTGAAATTGCTGACATTTGACCATTTTTGACCTACTAAATGATCATTTTATTTGGTTCAACTTCATATGATGCCCTTCCCCATAGCTAAGACAGTTTTAAGAGATAACAAAATCACCTCTCCAATATGAAGAGATGTCTTTTGTGGTTTTTTTCCCCCTCTGTAAAAAATGATTAAAAAGTCTACTCGGGGAGATCCGAGTAAGCTTCCTGTGTTTGAGGAGCTGGGAATACCCTCACCTCTCTGTCTTTCCCCTGTCTCTCGGAATCTGGCCCTTGCTAGTTGGGAGGATTCAGTCTCACCTGCATATTAACATCATGTTAACACTGGGCCTGTCCTTCTGGGAGGCAACACACGTGTATCTAATGACAGCTGAGATGCTGGTCCCCTGCTAATTCCTCTTCTCTTCGCCCCCAGGACCTTGAGAGATGCACAGTTAATTTGCATTTTAATCATTTTTCACGGAGGGGAAAAAGACACAAAAGACACCTCTTCGGATTGGAGAGGTGGTTTTGTTATCTCTTGAAACTCTTAGCTATGGGGAAAGGTCTCATTCTGACAGATACGGAAGAAACTAGCAGAAGTTGTCTGTCTCCAGAGGAACATATCACAGCCCAGAAAAATAGAATTCCAGGGAGTTTGGCAGTCTGCTTCTTAGCAGTCAGTGAGTGCTTCTTTTTCTTCAAGCAAGAACTATCGTTAAAATACAAACTGTCTATTATCATCAGTGTTTTTATCCGAGGGGCCTGTTTGGTGGTACTTCAGGTTTCCAATGCAAAGATTTAAATATTTTATCCTTCTAATTAGACCTGCTTCAGGAGAGGCTATAGGGCTACATTTTATGCAGGGGTGTAATGAGCAGCTAAAGAAGAAGTAAACATTCCAGTGATTTTTGTAGACCAAATTTCTAGTGTTTTAAGATTTCAGACATTTGGCTTGAAACAGTGGAATCTCACAAAGCTAAGAGAACTCAGACATCTGCAGGTGGATGGCAGGTCTCCGGTGAAATGCTTGCATGTTCAGGGAGCACTTGCTGTGTGTCCTGTCCTGCTCAGGTCCTGCACCCCAGCTCTTTCTACATTGAGTGATGGAGACCCATCTGTGTTCACTCCTTCCTCACTGTGTCCTCTCAGGACATCCTTGTATCTTCCATCACAGCCACCATTCAACAGATGGCTTTGAGGTACCAGACAAGCACTGTGCTGAACACTACACAGAATCTCACTGAATCCTTACAATGGTTCCATGGAATACGCATGTTCAGATCCATTTTATAGGCGAGGAAACTGAGGCTTGGAGGGCACACAGCTGGGGATCAAACACAGGTCTCTGCATCACATCAGCCTATTATTACTATTATTATTTTTTTGAGACGGAGTCTGGCTCTGTTGCCCAGGCTGGAGTGCAATGGTGCGATCTCAGCTCACTGCAACCTCCGCCTCCCCGGTTCAAGCAATTCTCCTGTCTCAGCCTCCTGAGTAGCTGAGATTACAGGTGTGTGCCACCATGCCAGGTTAATTTTTGTATTTTTAATAGAGATGGGGTTTCACTGAGTTGGTCAGGCTGCTCTTGAACTCCTGACCTCTGCTCGCCTCGGCCTCCCAAAGTGTTGGGATTACGGGTGTGAGCCACTGTGCCCAGCCCAGCCTATTATTTTTAAGACCTTTTTTTAAAGAGAAGTTTTAGATTCACAGAAAAATCAAGAGGAGGGTACAGAGATTTCTCATATGCCCCTCTGCCCCTATTCATGCACAGCCTCTTCCACCATCAGCATCCCCACCAGAGTGGTGCATTTGCCACAATTGATGAACCTACATTGACACATCAGAATCTTCCAAAGTCCATAGTTTACTTTAGTGTTCACTCTCTGTGTTGTACATTCTGTGGGGTTGGACAAACATCTAATGATGTGGACCCACGTTACAGTGTCATATACAGTATTTCCACTGCCCTAAAAGTCCTCCGTGCTGCAGTTTTTCACCTCTCCCTCTCCTCAATCCTTAGCAATCACTGATCTTTTTACTATCTCCACAGTTTTACCTTTCCTAGGATATCATACAGTTGGAATCATTCAGTATGTAGCCTTTTCAGATTGGCTCCTTTCACTTAGTAATATGCACTTAAGGCTTGATAGCTTTTTCCATTTTGTGTTTTATTTATTTTTATTTTATTTTATTTTTTTGAGATGGAGTTTCACTCTGTCACCCAGACTGGAGTGCAGTGGCATGATCTCTGCTCACTGCAACCTCTGCCTCTGGGTTCAAGAGATTCTGCTCCAGCCTTCCGAGTAGCTGGGATTACAGACACCCGCCACCACTCCTGGCTAATTTCTGTGTTTTTAGTGGAGACGGGGTTTCAGGCTTCACCATGTTGGCCGGGCTGGTCTTCAACTCCTGATCTGCCTGCCTTGGCATCCCAAAATGCTGGGATTACAGGTGTGAGCCACCATGCCCAGCCTGCTTTTTCTATTTTAGTGCTGAATAATATTCTATTGTCTGGATGTACCACAGTTTGTTTATCCATTTGCCTATTGAAGAACATCTTGGTTGCTTCCGAGTTTTGGCTGTTTTTTTTTGTTTGTTTGTTTTTTTGAGATGGAGTCTCACTCTGTCATCCAGTCTGGAGTGCAGTGGTATGATCTCATTGTTATTATTTGTTGAAAGTCAGTTTTTTAAAATGGTTTAAATAGTACGAAAAATGAAAGCAGCTGTATGGCTTTTCCCACTTCTGCATTACTAAAAGTCTTTCAGACAGAAGGGAAATGATACCACATAGAAACATGGATCTGCACACAAAAAAATAAAGGGCACTGGATATAATAATGACATGGGAAAAGCCATACACTTGCTTTAATTTTTCTGACTATTTAAACCATTTTAAAAAACTGACAAATAATAAGACCCATGTCATTACTATATCCAGTAACCTTCATTTTTTTTGGTGCAGATCCACGTTTCTATATGGTATCATTTCCCTTCTGTCTGAAAGACTGTTTTAGTAATGCAGAAGTGCTGGTGATTCAACACTTTTAGTAATGCAGAAGTGCTGGTAATTCATTCTTTCATCTCTTGTATGGCTAGTGGGAGAAAGGCATTGTTTTTTAAAGTTTATTTGAATGTATATATTATATATGCATATGTATATATAGTATATATGTATGTATATGTATTATGTATATTCAAAGAAATAATAGCAATGATATGTATGTATATGTATTATGTATATTCAAAGAAATAATAGCAATGATATATATGTATATATATTATATATATTCAAATAAATAATAGCGGAGTATATATATAGTTTATATACATATATATATGTCTCTCTTCTCTCTCCTCTCCTTTGAGACTAATACAGATATATTAGGGCACCTAAAGTTGTCTCGCGGCTCACTGATGCTCTCTTCTTTTTTTTCAGTCTTTGTTTCTGTTTGTGTTTCATTTGGATAGTTACTGGTATGTATTCAAGTTCACAAGGTTTTCTTCTGCAATATCTAATCTGCTATTAATAAAGGCCCCACCCAGTATATATTTGATACTAGATGTTATAGTTTTCATCTCTAGAAGCTGATTTGGATCTTTTAAAAATATATGTCTTCCATTCTCTTCTTAACATGTTCATTGTTTCCCATAGCTTTTTGAACATACGGAATACAGTTATAACAACTATTTTAAAGTCCTCACTTACTAATTCTAAATACGTCAATTCTGGATTGGTTTAATTGATTGCCTTTTCTCCTCATATGGTTCATATTTTCCTGCTGCTTTACATGTCTGATGATACCTGGTTGGATGCCAAACATTGTGACTTTTACTGTGGTGAATTTACCGTGGTGTATGCTAGATATTTTGTATTCCCATAAATAGTCTTGTGCTTTGTTCTGGGATGCAGTTCAGAAACTTGAGAACAGTTGGATCAAGCCATATTTCATCTAAGAGGAATTATTCCCCATCACTAAGGCAATGCTCTTCTGAGTATTCTACTCAGTGTCCCATGAATGATGAGATTTTCAAAATGGCTGATGGGAACAGGCACTATTTCTGGTCCTGTATAGGTGCCAGACACTGTTTCCTGTAATTTTGGGGTGATTCTTTCCCTGCCTTGGGCAGTTTCTGCACAAACATGCACTCCCTCTGTCCTCTGTTGAATGTTTGAGCGGTCCCGCTCTGAAAGCCCAGGCTCTCTCTGGGCAGCTGTCTTCTCTCCATACCCTGCCCTGTGGTCTCCAGCTGCCTCACTCTCCCAAGACTCTCATTTCTGTTCTTCAACTTAGGGAGTCCATTGAGTCCTGCCTGAGTTTCCTGCTCCGTGGCCTGGAAACTTTCTACTGGCAGTAAACTGGAGCACCTGTGTGGCTCACCTTGCTAATTTCCCATCTCTCAAAGCTCACTGTCCTTCATTTGTCTGATGTCTGGCATCTTGAAAACCATTTTCATGTATCTTACCTGGTTTTTCAGTTGTTTCAGCTGGGAGGGTAGACCTAGTCCCCATTACTCCATTTTGTCTGGAAGTGGAATTTTCTTAAGCCTGTGTTTTTAACATCTATATTTCTACCCTTCCTCCTTTTCTCCCATTGTGGAAAAAGGAATGTTAACACTTGAATCTAAATCTGGACCACTACCCCCACCTCCCAGCTACAGACCTCTGGTCCAGCCAGCACTTCTCCCTCTCCCTGTCTCCCAAATGCTGCAAAATGTGAGTGATATACGTACGTACTCTACAGGTCAAGTGGGCCTGGGGAACAAGTGAGGAAGCCAAATCATGCATGGACCAGCCTAGCTCCTTTCCCGTCTGCCGTGGCCACTTGGAGTTCTTCCAGGTGTCCTCTGACAGGATGTTCCATGAGACACTGAGGAAGCCAGTCTGTGATTCAGGCGTGGGGTCTGCATACTAGGAGCCGGAGTTGGGCCATTCACTGAGCAAGGATGGGTTCTTTGGGCCTCCATCCCAGATGCCTGGACCCTGGGGAGCCTTGTTCCCCTGAAGGATGAAGGCGAGGGGAAATGGTGGGAGCAAGTTGCTCCAGCCTGAGACCCACCCAGTCTGGCAGCCTCCTGTTTAGCCAAGAGCTGGAACACTGTTTATTTCCTCCAGACCTCGTGAGGATCCCTCATCCATCTCCTCAGCATGAAGCTGTGGAAGTTGATTAGAAATTTATTAAGGCTTGGTTTCCAGTAGCTTTGGGGAACACTTGAGGGGGGCTGACTAATGTTCTCTCCCAGGCACCCTGCACCCCTGTCTCTCTGCACTGAGTCTTAGCAGCCCTTCCTGCATCCCCTGCCTTCTCTCTGACTTCCTGCCAATCCTTCTTCCCCACTGTGGAGGTTCCACCTGGGCACTCCTGCATATCCTAATAATCAAATCAATCAGGCAGGGCCAGCCGTGCAGGCGGGCTGTGTTGAGGAGTGTGGGAAGCCAGAAAGAATTTATTGCCAGCCTTCATCATCTTTGTCATCCTTGCCAACAGCCTGAGAGCACTTGTTGCCTACAGAACGTCATTCTTAGCACGAAGACCTGTGAGGCAGGAGCCCGCCCTCTGGTGAAAGAAGACAGATGGTGTAGGTGAATCTTGAACACCTGCTAAGAGCCAGGCTCTGTGCTGCACGGCCAGCCCAGGAAGGCAACACATTCAGCAAGCCCATTTTAGAGAAGAGGATACTGAGGCTCAGAGAGCCTTAGGGCCTTGCCCAAAGTCATCCAGGTGAGAAGAGGCTAAACTGGGATCAAGGCTAGATCTGAGTCACAGCTGGTGGATTGTAGGGTGTTGGGGTGAGGTGGAGGCAGATCTGAGCCCCAGAGAGTGTGGTTCTGTGTCACAACCCCTTCCAGCCTGGTTGTCTCTGCAGCTTGTATGGGCAGAGTGGATTGTGGCTGAAGCCAGGTGTCCCACGGCTAAGACAGGCTGGTGCCAGAGGTAGGGTGTGGGGAGCCCACAGGAGGCCGAAAGGACTGAGAGAGGCATTGGAGGATGGGAAGCTTACTTTCTCTGAGGAGCCATCCCTTCTTCTCTGCCCCTGCAGCTCCGAGCAGCTCACCATCAGAGCATCCCTCCCCTCCAAGATTCCCTTGAGGGCCAAGGTTCTCATCTCATTTATGTCACGATTGTTGCCCAGCCCAGGGCTATACCCAGTAAATATTTCATAAACAAATCAAGGAAGAGCAGGGAATCAATAAAGGAACAAGAAAAAAACTTGACAGGAAATGCATCACCTTGCCAGGCACCTCATCTTTGAGTCTGGATTATAACTTTCCCCAAGGCCAGCGATCCCGACAGCACTAAGCCCCCGACTCTCGCCCACATCCTCAAACTCTCCCGTCCCCAGCGCCCCTCCCTTGTCCCCCTGCAAAGTGTCTGCAGCATGCTGGACCCAGCGCTACAGGCATTCCCTGAAGCACTCCACTTCTTCCTCTGAACAGTCCCATGCTGTGAACCTGTGATCATTCAGTTCACTCAGGAGGAGAGTGGGGGCCGGACAGGGTAAGACACTGGCTCAAGGTCTTGTAGCACACAGACCACGGGGCTTGCATCTGGAGAGGGCTGACTCCTCTAAACCCGTGGACTTCTCTGAGGTAAGGTGACCAAGCACCCCGGTTTTTGCAGGGCTGAGGGGCTTTCAAGATGAGACTTCCAGTGCTGAAACCTGCCCCAGGCCAACTGAGATGGCTGGTCACCCTACCCAGCACCACCTGGGATTTAGAGGGGCTTTTTGGATCCTTTGGGGAGGACTGAAATGTTTCAGAGTTTTGTGGGCCTCACTGTATTTTACTAATATTCTTTAGGGAAGGGAATATCACACACCAGGACCTGTCAGGTGGGGGGGGGGGGTTAGGGAGGGATAGCAGGGGGGGGGGGGTAGGGGGGGGATAGCAGGGGGTGGGGGTAAGGAAGGGATAGCATTAGAAGAAATACCTAATGTAGATGACAGGGTGATGGATGCAGCAAACCACCATGGCACGCGTATACCTGTGTAACAAACCTGCACATTCTGCACATGTACTTAGAGTATAATAACAAGAAAATGAATGGGGATGGTTGAAACTGTTTCCAGAATCCACATCTTTCCCCGGCCTATTTAATTCTCAAGTATTAACAAGCACTGAGGATGGGCCAGACACTGTTCTAAGCACTGGGGAACAAGCACCAAAGTCCCTGCTCTTGCTGATGGCACCTTGTCCCGACAGCTGGTCACCTCCTATGAAAGATGACCAAGAAGCAAAGACAGCACAAAGCCCCTGCTGGCCGCTCACCTCTATGTCCCAGCAGCCACGCAGAGAGGTGCCCAGTAAATGTTGACTTTGATGAATCCATCAGGAAAGCAGCAGAGGATGAGCAGAGCCTGAACAGACCCTGGCCCCGGGAAGGGGACTCTCCATGGGCTGGCCGGGCCCAGCATGGAGCAGGCAGGCCCCCTCCTCTTCTGTGGTCCTAGAAATCCCAGGCTGAGCCCTGACAGTAGCTGGTGGTCTTGTAGGAGGAGCAGAGCCCCACTTTCATGACGGCCCTGGCCTGTGCAGTCTCCAGTGGCCACCTGTCACCCAGAAGCCTCCCAGTGTTACAGAACAGTGTTAGCCAGGTCACACGGCTCACCCTGTCAGTCCCCAGCAGCCCACTGGGAGAGGTGCCAAGAAAGGAGGGATGTGGCTCCACCCACAGTCATGAAGCCTTGGTGAAGGACCACTCCACAGAGTAGAGCCATAGCCCCCTGCAGAGCATGAGGGTCTCTATCGCATCACTCTCTTTACCCATCTATCTGCCTCGCCTCTGCACAGGAGACCCTCAGGGCTAATGGAGTAAGCTGTGCCTCTCTTGTAGCCCCAGGGCCTGGCCCGTGGAAGACCTTAATAAATGCCCACAGTGAGTTGGGGAACCTGGTGGGAGTTCTGACTTGTCTGTTTGCGCTGTTCTGAGACCCTGGCCAAACTGCGCATGTAGAACCACAGACCAGAATGTGCCAGAATCCCTTCCCAGCATCCTTTACGCAGTGGGAGCCACCCAATGTGTCTGTACCTTTAGCAACGGGAGGCTCACCACCTCGCCAAACAGTGACTGCCATCCGAGCCAGGTCTCTAGGGCTACAGCAAGGCCCTGCCACAGCGCTGCCGGGGAAATCACATCATGGTCCCCAGCCATGGCATTCGCAGTTGTGCAGTGCCCTGATGGTAGTCATGATAAGTTGCCACAAGTCTCGGGACTTGGCCTATTAAACGTGTTAATGTGGCACCTACTAAGTGGTCAATAAAGTTTAATTATTCATGATGATCTCCTCTCTTGAGCCAAAAACCTTCTTCCTTTAACTCTGCCTGCTGGTCGTAGGAAGCGAGTCGGATCCTGCTTGCACATGATCACCTGTGTAGTGATGGCGCCAGGGCCATGAAGATCCCTGAGATGGGGAAGCAGGAGGCCTGAGTCCCCGGCCTGGCTCTGCCACTCATGACTTCGGGCTGTGTGACTTGGAACAAGATGCTCAATTTCTTGGAGCCTCAGTTTGCCTTTCTCTTAAATGGGAACGCTAGTAATAGCTCATAGTGTGGGCGGGAAAATCACAGGAGATGGTGAATGAGAAAGAACAATTGTGCAGGGCAGCACAGACACCAGCAATTGTTATCTTTGAGCCTAAACTCGGTATCCTCCCTTTGTATCATCCCCTTTTTGGACTAAACATAGCCGTTTTCCTCAACTGTTTTCCCAAATGCATATTCTCTCTAAAAATCTTCACTAGGTCAAACTCCAGCCTGTCAGTGTCCTTATAGAGCAGTTTTCCCAAAATGAGGCATGAAACTCCAGGAAAACCTATTACCTCCTTGGATCTAGCCCTGATGCATTCATTATTAATACAGCCAGTGAGAGCCAAATCTTGCCTTGTCTAATGCAAACGCTTTGACTCATCCTGATCGGAGATCTCTCCCTGAATACTGCTGTTCAGCCACAGCTCTCCTCCTGGAATTTTACAACTGATGTTTTTGAAGCTTAGCACAGATATGTCAAGAACTGAGAGGGGTTTGCAATTTTACCTTGCCTTCAAGTTACCTTTCCAAAATTTCAAAGATGCAGAGAGAAGACATGAGACTCCCGGAGTCAGAGGACATTAACGCACCGCAGCAAGCAGCTTGGGCTTCCTGTTCACATCAGTGCTTCTCTCTCTGCAAGTCCTGTGGGGCGACGTGGAGCAGCGCGGGTGGGTTCTGTGCATGCTGTGGGTTTGTGTGACAGCTGAGGAACCTCAAGCTTAGGAAACTCCACTCTCCCTTAAAGGGAGACTGCGAGCACACCTGCCCAGCCTCTGCCTCAGAGGGAGAGACATAACTATCCCGGTCAGGAAACAGATGTGCCCTCTGCCCCAGAGGGGACACTGTCTTTTTTCAGGGCTGTTCACTTTATACATATCTTGAAAAGATAGTCCAGAACAGAGACTATCAACTCCTCCACTCAAAAGGCATGCAGAAGAGGAGAAACCTGGAGAATTGCCTTCCAGCAATACATATATCTGTATCCCTCACAAATGCAGCTGCGTACATCTGGGCCTGCATCTCAGCTTGGCCACTGCTGAACTGTGTCACCTTGAGCAAATTCCTTAACCTCTCTGATCCTCTGTTTTCTGCAGCCTGTAAGAGGAGGTATAATTCCCGTCTTCCAGACGTGCTGTAAGGGAGTCTCTGAGGTAGTGTTTGTGAAGCCTTCTCACCATGCCTGGTATGGAAGAGACCCTGGAGAGGAGGCAGCGGGACTGAGGTCGCTGTGATTTGGAGCCCATCCTTCTCACCGCTTAAATCTTTCCTTCACTATCCCTCCCTGGCCTAGTCCTCTGGCTCCTGTTTCTT